GCCGTCATCGCCTTGCGGTCGGCCGCGGGCACGACCGCCGTCTCGAGCAGCCGCGCGATCTCGGCGGTCTCTGGCTCGATCGCCTGGCAGCAGGGGTGAAGGGGCCGGTGTGTGTAGGGCGCGGGCGTGTGGCGGGCGTGTGGCGGGCGTGTGGCGGGCGTGTGGCGGGCGTGTGGCGGGCGGGTGGCGTGGGTGTGCGGCGTGGGTGTGCGTGGTGGGTGTGCGTGGCGGGTGGCGTGGGTGTGCGTGGCGGGTGGCGGGGTCGGATCACCTTGCCCTCGAGGCTGCCTGCCTTGTCGATCCGCGCCATCAGCTCAGCCGAAGTGGCGTTCGCGGCCGCCGCGCGCTCGCCTGCGGGACATGTCTAGACATGTCATTGACGTGTCGCGGGCGAATCCTCCGCCGCCGCGCGCTCGCCAGTCAGCCCCACGATCCGCCGGTTGCCGCCGCCCAGACCCTCCTCAGAGATGAGCACGAAGCGCTGCGGCTCGGAGGAGCGCGCGATGTGCGTCCCGCCGCAAAACTCGACCGAGTAGCCGCGCCACTCGCCCTGGTCGGGCGCGGCGACCATCTGGCCGACGCCAGGCCTAGAGCACGGGGCCGCCCGTCAGCGCGGGAGCGCTTGCTCGCGCTGCGTGTGTGTGTGCTCGCGCTGTGTGTGTGTGTGCTCGCGGGGTGTGTGTGTGTGTGTGTGTGTGTGTGCTCGCGGGGTGTCGCGTGGCTACAGGAGTGGCTACAAGAGCTGCGGAAAGGCGGGGAAGGAAGCGAGCACGGGGAAGGAAGCGAGCACGGCCGAGGCCGCACGAGTCTTGTCGAGTAGCTCGCTGGGGCCGCACCAGTCGCTGGGGCCGCACCAGTGTGTGGCTCGGCATCTACGGCGCCGGCGCCCACCCACGGAGACGACGCGGACAGGGTCGGGGTACTGCTCGCCTAGTACCATACCTCCGCAGGATCGAACCCAATGCGGGGTCAGCCCCGTGGGCGGTGCGGCACTGCTGGCCAAAGACGGCGCGGAGCCCGTTGATCGCCATCGCCTGCTCGAGCGCGACCGTCGACGTGTGCACCTCGAGGTCGGCGCCGATCTGCGAGTTGACTTGCGCCTGCACGGCGGCGAGCTGCTCGGCAGTGAGCGGCTTGGGGTACGCAAAGTCGAAGCGGAGCTTCTCGGCGTCGCAGAGGGAGCCGCGCTGGTCGCAGTCCTGCGGCGGGGTCAGGCACACTTCTCCACACACACGAGGGTGTGGGGCAAGGGCCAGGTGCAGCCCTTTCGACTCCACGTCTAGAAAGGCAGGAGCCCTGAAGGCGTTTTCAAGTGCAAGGCCCGGTGCGCGTGGTGAGCGGTGTCCGCGTGTGTGCATGTGAGTGTATGAGTGTATGAGTGTGTGTGTGTGAGTGTGTGTGAGTGTGTGTGAGTGTGTGTGTGTGTGTGTGTGTGTGTGTGTGTGTGTGTGTGAGTGGTTCTCGCAGACCTGCTCGAGCGCGGCGCGAAGCGCGTAGTTGAGCATGTGCGTCGTCGTGTGGTTCTGCGCGATCGGCGCGCGGCGGCCGTAGTCGACGCAGAGCTGCACCGCGTCGCCGGGCTTGAGCTCGCCCGCCGTCACGCGTCCGATGTGGGTCACAAAGGCGCCGAACCTCTGGACGTCCTCCACGAGGAAGGCTGCGCCCGCGGCGGTGGTGAGCGTGCCGAGGTCGCACACCTGCGGGTACTCTCGGGTAATCTCGGGAGATATGGGGAGATACAGTGAGCGTGCCGACGTCGCACACCTGCCCGCCCGCCTCCGCGTAGAACGGCGTCGACTCGACGATGAGACCGACGAGCCCCGTCTCGGCGGTGACGGACTCGTGGAAGACCTTTGACGGGTCGATGGCCGCGCGCAGCGTGCTGGCGTGCGGCTGGCCCGCCCCTGCGGCCGAGTCCCAGACCCACTTTGGGGCGTCGTCCGTGCGCGGCACGCCCATCCGCTCGGCGAGGGCGACGGTCTGCTCCGCCTCAAGCACGACCGACCCGCCGCGCGAGAAGGAGCCGCCCTCCTGCGACCGCTTCTTCGCGCGCTCCATCTCGGCCTCGTACCCCGCCTCGTCGACGGTGAGGCCCTTCTCTTCGCACATGAGCAACGTGAGGTCGACCGGGAAGCCGTACGTGTCGTACATCTTGAAGGCCTGAGACGGGGGGCGATGAGGGAGGGCGGGGGTGGGGGGGAGACGTGGGGGAGATGTGGGGGAGATGTGGGGGAGATGTGGGGGAGATGTAGATGTGGATGTAGATGTGGGGGAGATGTGGGGAGATTGCGCCTCCTCGCCCGAGAGTGTGCCTCCCGCCGGAAGCTTCTCGCAGTACTTGCCGAGCTGGCGGATCCCGTTCTTGAGCGTGCGCGAGAAGGTGGCCTCCTCCTCGCGGAGGATCGCCTTGACGCGCTCTGGGGCAGGCCGGGGCGGGCAGTGCGGGCGGGGAGTGTGGGCGGGGAGGAAGGCAGGCAAGGCGACGGCGAGAGAGCGGCTGGGCGGCGCATAGCGAGGGGTGGGCATAGCGAGGGGCGGGCAGGCCTCTGGCTCGCGGGGGGTAGTGGAAGTGTCTCGGAAGTGTCCGCACCTGGGTCCTTGCGCAGCTCGGGGAACGCGTCGCCGAACTGCTCCACGACGGCGTCGACGAGCTGGTGGAAGAAGCCCTCGGGTGCCTGACAAGGCAGCAGACAACAGGAGTCATAGAAGACTGAATGAGAAGAGGAGGAGGAGGAGGAGGAGGAGGAGAAGGCCTCGCCTTGAGGATCTCGCCGCCGTACCGCACCGCGCGGCGCAGGATCCGGCGCAGCACGTAGCCGCGCCCCTCGGCAGACGGCTGCGCGCCGTCGGTGATCGCAAAGGTGAGCGTGCGGATGTGGTCGGCGACCACGCGGAAGGCCATGTCGACACGCTCATCCTCCGTCCACTTTGCCGCATCCTCCATGTCCTCGCCAACCTTGCCAGCGTACTCGCGCAGCCCCGGCACGACGGCCTGGATGGCCTTGAAGAGGGCGGCGAAGACGTCGATGTCGTAGTTGGACATCTTGTCGAGCAGGATGGACGAGACC